TGGTATGAAACTAGAAATAAATCACAAAATGAAAACTGGAAAAAGCATAAATATATGGAGATTAAACAACACACTACGAACAGTTAATGGGTCAATGAAGAAATCAAAAGAGAAATTAAAAAATACCTTGAGACAAATGAAAATAAAGCATAGCAAAATCTGTGGGATTTAGGAAAAGCAGTTCTAAAAGGGAAGTTGATAGTGATACAGGCCTACCTCAAGAAATAAGAAAAATCCCATATAACTATCTAACTTTATACCCAGAGGAACTAGGAAAAGAGGAATTAGTAGAAGGAATGAAATAATAAAATCAGAGTGGAATAAAGGGAATAGAGACTAAAATAAATTGAAAAGATCAATGAAACTGAGAGCCGAATTCTTTGAAAAGGTAAATGAAAGTGATAAGCCTTTAGCCAGACTCATCAAGAAATAAAAGAGAAAGGGCTCAAATAAAATCGGAAATGAAAAAAGGGAAGTAATGACCGATACCACAGAAATAGAACAGATTATGAGACTACTATGAACAATTATATGCCAACAGATTGGAGAGTCTAAAAGAAATGGATAAATTCTTAGAAATATACAATCTGCCAAGACTGAATCATGAAGAAATAGAAAATCTGAATAGATCATTTACTAGCAAGGAGTTTGAATCAGTAGTCAAAAACCTCCCAACCAACAAAAGTCCAGGACCAGATGGCTTCATTAGTGAATCGTACCTCAAACTCTCCCAAAAAATTGAAGAGGAGAGAATTCTTCCCAATTAAAATTTTACAAGGCCAGCATTATCCTGATACTAAAACCAGACAAGCACACCACAATAAAAAGAAAACTACAAGCCAATATCCCTGATGAACATAAATGAAAAGATCCTCAACAAACTGTTAGCCAACTGAACTCAGCAATGCATTAAAAAGATCATACATTGTGACCAAATGGGATTTATTGAAAGGATGTGAGGATGGTTAAACATTTGCAAATCAATCAGCATGATCTACAGTATTAACAAATTAAGGATAAAAATCATGATCATCTCAACAGATGCAGAAAAAGCATTTGACAAAATTCAAAATCCATTTATGATAAAAACTCTCATCAAAGCAAGAATGAAGGAAATGTACTTCAACATAATAAAGACCATATATGACAAGCCCCACAGCTAATATCATACTCAACGATGAAAAGCTAAAAGCTTTTCCTCTAAGATCAGGAACAAGACAAGGATGCCCACTCTTACCACTTCTATTCAGCATAGTATTAGAAGTTCTGGCTGGACAAGTTAGGCAAGAAAAAGAAAAAAATGCTTCCAAATTAGGAAGAAGTAAAATCGTTATTATTTGTGGACAACGTGATTTTATATATAGAAGACCCTAAAAACTCCACCAAAAAGCTGTGAGAACTAAGAACTTCAGTAAAGTTGCAGGATGCAAAATCAATATACAAAAATCTATTCTTTCTCTACACTAGCAACAAATGGTTAGAGAAATTAAGAAAATCTTATTTACAATCCCATCAAAAAGAATAAAACACCTAGGAAGAAATTTAACCAAGGAGGTGGAAGACCTCTACACTGGAAAGTTCAAGATATTGATGAATGAAACAAGACACAAGTAAATGGAAATTATTATATGTTCATTGATTGGAAGAATTAATGTTGTTAAAATGTCTGTATTACCCAAAGCAGTTCATAGATTCAGTGCAATCCTTATCAAAATCCCAATCGCATTTTTCACAGAAATAGAACAAACGTTCTAAAATTTGTATGGAACCACAAGAGATCCTGAATAGCCAAAGTGATGTTGAGAAAGAGGAACAAAGATGAAGGCATCACATTCCTTGATTTCAAAGGTATGGTAATCAAAACAGTATGGTATTGGCATAAAAACAGATAAATAGATTACTGCAGCAGAATAGAGAGCACAGAAATAAACCCACATATATATGGTCAGTTAATTTATGCCAGAGGAGGCAAGAATATACAGTGGAGAAAGGGCAGTCTCTTCAATAAATGGTTTGGGAAAACTGGACCAGTATCTTATTCTGTATACAAAAATTAACTCAGTATGGATTAAAGACTTGAATGCAAGATTTGAAATCATAGAGCTACTAGAAGAAAACATAGTAAATTCCCTGCTATTGGTCTTACTGGTTATGGGTAGTAATGTATAACATGGTGACTAGAGCAACAGTACTGTATTTCACTATGTAACTTTATTTGGTGACAGGAGGAAACTAGACCTATGATGGTGATCATTTTGCAGTGTTATATGAATATTGAATCATTTTGTACACCTGAAATTAATATGTTATATGTAAATTATACTTCAGTTTTTTGAAAGAAAGGCATTGGTCTAATTCAGTGGTCTCCAGAGTCTGATGTCTGTAGCATTAAATATTAGAGAGAGCCCCAAGGTAGTTCATTTATGATGTCTATTTGTGCTTTTTTTTTTGTTATCCTTTCAAAATATCTATTTTTACGTATGTTTTATAATGTGCATAATGTAGTGTTGTATATACTTTATAAAGAAGTATATATGCATGGTATAGTATATATGCTCACAACTTTTTAAAGTAGGAGTACATAATAACAATTTTTTGAAGACTGTATCTTTAATCACGTCACTCAAGTACAGTTTGAGTATAATGAACCCAATACATGCTTTTCTCTATCTTACAGAAATTGGACATTTATTCCAGTTTTGTTTTTTTTGTGGTTGTTTTTTTTTTTTTTTTTACATAGAAGGTCTTTTTCACTACATCATTTGTATATATAGCAACCAAGTTTCAGGAACTATTTTACAATACCAAATACAGCTATATTTTGTTCTTGAAAATAGTTTAAAACAAATTAGGTTCTCACAGTATTCTGATCTTTCAGCAGCTTTTGATTCTAGAGATGGGAGTCATCTGTGGATCAAACTGTATGACCTGCATTCAGAGCCCATGTTTTTAATGTTACTTCAAAACTTGTGTCATAATACCTCTGCTGAAATCAGATTAGATGACAGCCATATTTTAGCAGCTGAAATTCCAGTGTTGAAAAGCACTGAGTTGTACTCTCTCTTTATTAAATCTAGCTGTATAAGTCATTTTTGGTGATGTCATATGTGTCTACCAGTTACAGTGATTAGAAGGACAAGCATTCTTCCCCACTGTCATGACAGTGCCTTCCTTGAGAAATTAACAGTTCTGTGAGGGTATAGAACAATTCATCCCCAACATATTAGTGAAAATATTTAATCACATTGCTTTCCTCACCAAATTTGATTAACAATATCTAGAAAATATTTCATAATAGATAAAAGATTTGTGCATATCTCATTTTTTATATTAACTTTGGCTTTATTTTTTTAAATTAATTTGGTTTTATTTAAATTTAAATATAATTATTATTGGTTTCAGAGGTAGAGGTGCATATCTCATTTATTCTTCACTTAGTAAATGGGATAAGGTTACTTACAAAGATGTTGTAAGGATTCAATGAGTGAAGACGGTATCTTGCACATAGTAAGGGTTCAATAAATATTAACCATTGTGGTATGAAAGAATAGCAATAAATACCAGTGCCCCACTTGGGAGTTTGGCTCTGTCTTCCCTCGGTCCTCCTACTGATTTAGTTGTGAGGCTTCCTGCCTTACTTTCCTGTTTTTTTTTCTTCATTTGTAAAACAACCACGATCACATTTTTTTCAGACATTTATTGTATAAATTAAATTAGAAAATAAGGTGATTACCACAGTGTCTGGCCCATAGGAACTTTTATTATATGCCTTGTTATAGCCTAGGAATTGCCAGTGTTATCTTTTCTCAATTATAAATAATAAAAATTATACTCTTGAAAGGTTGTGTCAAATATCATTTTAAAGACACAGGTACAAACAAACCAATAGGCATTTTGACTGAGTTTTGTGTGTTTATTATTCTGCCTTTCCTAGGTTCATCAGTTTATCTTTTCCCATTTGCTGCTAGGAAACTAAAGTACTAATTAATACTCATTTGTAGTAGTGATTCACTTCTAGGTTTCTAGGCATCTCTTACCTTTAAATGTCTTAATGAATGCTCATGGTTTAATCTTTTATTTCATTTTCCTTTTTTGGCATGTTTGTGGCCCTTAAGTTTTTAATATTATATCCTGTTTTATCCTTCTTGGAAATGCAAATTGTAGTCATCATAGTATCATTATTGTTTACCTAGATTGAGTTGGATTAAATACACTGATCAGTTTGCTCTGGTACCAGGCATATCCTTAACATTTTTTTTAATGAGAAAATTATTGTACTTGTCCTTTTAAAAATCACAGCGTTATGTAGTGGACTAAGCATGTTTTGTGATATTTTAGAGATTATTTATTAGAGAGAAAGAGAGGGAGATCGTGCAAGTGGGGGGAGAGGCAGAGGGAGAGAATATTCAAGCAGACTTCCCGCTGAGCATGGGGCTTGATCATATGACCCATGAGATCATGACCTGAGCCGAAATCAAGAATTGGTGCTTAACCAACTGAGCCACCCAGGTGCCCCCATGTTTTGTGATATTTTAAAAAATTAAAGCATTTTTTTCCTTTTTGCCTCATGTTCACATGTTGTAATCTGTCTTCATTTGTGTGATAAGGAACTCTCTTTTAGCAGTTAGTTTACTTTTTCTTCTTCAAATTTCAACATGATGGTTGCTAGGAGGAAGCCTAGCCTGATGTAAAGATACAGTGAGAATTTATTGAGTAGAGGTCTCATTTGCTTAAAACAAACTCTAAAATTTCAAAGAAGTTCTAAATAGTTTCACCTGTCTCAAATTTTTTAAAGCAAAGATATTCTTTGTTGTGTTATCAACATGTAATTTCAATGACTATATGAATTTGCTGTGTTTACTTTTATATTTCAGTATCACTGGGTATTGTCATCACTGAACACTTCCTCAAATAATGACTCAAACTAGTAAAATAAAAATGTGTTAAGAGCTGACATTTTTTACAAAGTAAATTGATCAAAACTATGGTCTGTGTTTTAGAAAGAAAAGGAAAAAAAAAAGGAAGAGAAAAAGAAAGAAAAGGAGCCAGAAAAGCCTGCAAAACCTCTTACAACTGAAAAGGTAAAATTCATTTTTTTAAAAATCCATTAAGATTACCATCTTATTTTTGTAGTCTTACATATGAATGTTTTTTAGGATATTTACAATATGTGAATAATCATTCTTTCATTAAGTAATTTTTGAATGAATATGTGTGCTAAGCATGTCCTTCTGTATTGTCCTATATAATTTTTAGGCAGTTATATATCTATGGGTACAGATCATGTGAACTCCTCAAGGACTAGTATTCTCTTATTAATGACATAAAGAAAAATGTTTTTAGTTTTCATGCACAATCAGATTTCAGTGAAAGTTTGAAGAGATCGTACCTGAAGGGGCCTTCAGAAAAGAGTTGATGCTTAAAGGTAAACATCTGAGGTCGATTTTGAGTGGATTAAGGTGGAAGGCAAGAGTATATCATTTGGAGAGAATACCTTGAGGATAGGTATAGAAAGTGAAAATAGACAAAGTATATTTAGAAAAATAGTATCTCTATAGAAAAAATATCTATGTATAGAAAAAATATTTGAAGAAAGATGTGTATCTGTGTATAGAGAGTAGTGAAAAGACCAGCATGGTAGATTGAGCCCAAATTGTAGAGGACCTTAAAGTCCATGTTGGTTTTTGGAGGAAAGGCTGTGGGTAACATTCCAAAGTTTGTAGAGAGAGACCTAATTCCGAAAGGTTCTTTGGGAAGATTATTTTGGCAGTGATATGCAAGATAGATGTGCTTAGGCAAACTAGAGGGAGAGAGAACATTAGCTTTTTAAAAGGCTTTGGGTAAATAATTATGGCAGCTTGGCTTTGAATGTATTTGATCATGAAAGTATGGAAGCATGGTAAAGGAATTGTCAGTAAAGGGAACATCCTTGATACTTGTTGAAATTTTAAAAATTGACCTAATCAAGGCATAAATTACATATACAGGGTACATCCATTTCAAGTGTACAGTGCAGGTACATACTGGTTCTTTCTCTGTCATTTATTAAAGCAGTCTTTACCTTCATAGAGTTGTAAGAATGTCCTTTCCTTTCCCCACCTCTTACCTAAAATTTACTCATTCTACCTTTTCCATGAAGCCTCTCTAATATCTCAACTAGATAACACTTTTTTCCTTCCTCAAAATTCTGGCGACACTTGCTGTACATTTGATATTATTACTTCCTACTTTGTATTATTGTTTAATTGTATTTTTAGATAAATTTTCTTATCTAACACAGATGGCATAGATGTTGTGTTTCCTGAAATTATGCATCAATCAAGTGGGGACCAAGTCTATGTTTCTTTGTATTTCTAACAGTTTCTTATTTGTAGTAGATGTTTAGGATAAATACATGTACATTGATTCATTGGTGTTTTTTATCTCATAGTGTCTTGATTCCAAGGTCATGAAGAACAATTAATAAACTGCAGATGCTAAGACTGTAAGACCTTTGCTGAGTGGAATTCTTTGAAATATTTTTTGAAATGCTGATTTTCAGTTAAAATTAATTTCTTTGAATATCACTTTGTTTTAATGATATTTTACCAAATTAAATTCTTACCTTTCATCAGATTAAATTTAGATGTTAAATACTACATATTTTCAAAGGAGTAATTAAGTTGGTAATTATAACCTGGTTACTTAGTTTTAATTCTCCTCTGGTAACTTTCTCTTTAGCATGCATCAATAAGCTTTTTTTTTGTTTTTTAATTTTTTTTTAATTTTT